AAAAACCAGAAATTTTTGTCGACAATGAAGCAGCAATTCGGTTAGCACACAATCCAGAACTTCACAGAAGAACAAAGCACATCCACATTAGACATTTCTTTGTCAGAGAAAAAGTTGCAGAAGAAGAAGTTTCAGTTGAACGAGTTGCGACAGAACTTCAAGTTGCTGATGCTCTGACAAAACCAATGGTAGGACCAAGACTAAAGAATCTGATGTGTGCGATGGGTCTTCAGAACATTTAGGTTAAGGTCATCTAATGTTTTAAATAAAATGAGAAGGTGTTAAGTTTTATGTTTTATATTAAAACATTATGATTTATAATATACATTTATTTTCTTTGGACCCAATGTTCTTTGCTTTGTATGTAACTTCACTTTTCCTTTTCTGTTGATCCGGTGGATAATAAACAAGTCGAGAACGTTGCAAAGTTTATTTCTTGTCTATTAATGTCTTTCAATATTGTATCAATTAATTAAGCGATCTACGTAATAAGAAATTTAACAAGTGGACATTGTGGTTTAGACGTTTTGACCCATCTTGCTAGGTTGGAGTTTGTTGGAAGTTGTTGAATGATACTTTTCCTAATAAACTTGTAAATAACCTCTGACTGTGTGGCCGTAGACCTTGACCAGCAAACTATTTGATCTGATTTGATGTTTTCCCTCACTGTCTTCAACACTATTCCTTGGGAGCTTAGTGATGATAAATGGTCGAACACCTTTTCTTGCTGTTTGAGCTTCAAATCATGGAGAGTGGAATTTATATCTTTGGTGACTGGGAGCAAGTTGTCTATTTTTGTGTAGTCATTAAATGACTCGCTCCACAGACTTTTCATTTTTTCGTTACCGTTAGATTTAAGGTAGTTGCGAAGCTTCACTCTCAATGATTCAGCATAATGTTTCAGGGATCTGATGTTCAGACCTCCCAATTTGTACGGCAGTGAAAGAATCTCAGATAGACAGCTGCTTATCGGTAAAGCCAGCCAAGTTCTAACGGCATCGTTAATCAATGGATCCAACTTGCTGGCAATCCATGACAGTGATATATCGTAAATACGCAGTTCGAAGGCTACTTGAGCTGGGACAAAACGACGTAAAATTTGAAGTTTCCACTGGGCTGTGGTGTCCAGACTTGAAATCGTTGACAACATGCCTTGTAATTTGTTGAGCAGCAAATCTTTAGCTTTGGAATTGTTGCATTCGAAATCGTATATTTTACCTAGATATTCAAAATGGTCACCAATGCGAATCTGCGGTACAGGGGTGTCATCAATTGTCAACCTCGGCAGGAATTGTTCGTAGTTACCATTTTTCTTCCTCATGCCGAACGTGCAGCATTTATCTATCCTCATTTTCATCCCGGTAGCTTTGCACCAAGCTTTGTTCAAGTCAATTAATTTTTGGGCACCTTCTGTGCTGTTGGCGATGATTGCTGAGTCGTCAGCAAATTGGAACCATGCCCTTGATTTTAAATAAGCTGAAAGGGCCCAAAATGTAACCACATTGCTGGTATTCCCTGCCTTCTAACAGTTTCATGAGTGGATTAAAACAAAGGTTGAACAGCAACGGTGACGCAGGATCACCTTGTAGTACACCACGCTTGACCGGGATCGGAGGAGTTAGCTTTTCGCATCCAGAAACCGATATCGAATAATCTGTGTATATGAATTTTATTAAATTGGTTATCGCTGGTGGTATATGATGGTAATTTAGAGAAGCTGAAATAAGGTCATGACTTACTTTGCCAAAAGCGTTGCGAAGATCCAAAAGTGAGACGATGACTGTTCTTTGGTGCCTCTTTGCATCTTTGAGCATATGAGTTAATAATTGAGTATGATCTGCCAAACCATCTACTTTTGGATAGAAACCTTTCTGGATATTTTTATTAATGTAATTGTTGGATTCTAAAAATTTGTATATTCTGTTGTTGATGAGCGACGAGAATATTTTATATAGGGTAGGCTGCAAAGTTATTGGTCTGAAGTTGGCAGGGTCATTGGCGTCGCCTTTTTTGTGAATTAAAATTGAGAACCCTTTTTTCCAACAGGATGGAATCGTTGATGATGACCAGCATTTGTTTAGAAGTTGATGAAGGATTGTGCGAAGAATCGGACATTTTTTGAAGGGTATCGTTGAAATCTGGTCAAGAGGGCATGGAGATGCTTTAGATTTGCATTTGCGAATAATTGATGAAATTTCTGCATATGATGGTGGATTTATATTAAATGGTATTGCAGGTTCTTGAAGATTTTGTATCCAATTTGGAAGGTTGAATTTATTGTTTGGAGAATCACTTAAAATTGAATGGAAATATTTCTTGCATTCGTTAGAATTAAATTGAGGTGACAAACTTGTTGACTTGTTGAATAGCGATTTGCATGTTTTCCAAAACCGTTGTTTTAGTTGCGTTGAGATGTCATGCGTTTTTTCATTAGGTACCGATTTTTTTGACTTTAATTTAAATCGAATAGCTTTACTTTTTTCGCTAATTTGTTTGTCGAAGTTATTGTTGTTGTGGCCTAAGAACTTGAGTTGTTTTAACTCTTTTTTTTAAATTTTAATTGATTTATTCGAATTATTTCCTTTCATGGTGAATGGGGATTCAATTATACCATAATTTGTGGCAAAATAATTGTAGATAAAATTTTGAAATTTGATCGTGTCGTCGTTCAAGTTGCCGAAATCTGAAAAATCGCTTCGATGGATTCGAAGTAGTCGTTGGCTTCGGTCCATTCTGCCTCTGTTCTTGGCAATTTGACTCCCGGAAGCAATGATTCAGATGTATCGACATCAGTTGATTCTGTTGACGTAGACGACGGATCAGTTTCGGATGCTGAAGCGGAGGTTGGCAGCCGTGGCGAAGAGGGTGAACTGGAGCAGTCATTTTCATGGTTTGATTTTTTATTTGTAACTCTCAGTGTTTTGAACATTTTGCATGAACGTTGATGCATTATAAGACCTCTTCGGCCCTTGCAATATTTCCCGCAACAACATGACAATAAATTATCTACATTATTTGAATTAAAATTACTGAAATTAGAGTTAATATTGTTAGAGCTATTGTTTACGTTTAAGTTCGGAGATACAGATGCGGTAATAACAGTAGAAATATTAACATTTGAGATTGTATTTAATTTTGTACAGCGCCAGGAATGTCTACCAATTGATACAAATGATTTATTACAGTGAATACATATAGTAGCCATATTTAAATTTATGAACCAGATATTTAAAAACCCGATATTTATTCGATAAATTAAACTATTAAAACCGAAATAAAACCAATTTAAATTAAAACTACAATATTCTAGAAATTTTTCCGAATAGAATGAACCTATTTTTAAAAACCAATTACGGCAATAAAAACATAAATTATGCATAAAAACAGTGAATTGCACCAATCGGCCAACTCCCTTGTAATATACCCGCATAATAATAATAATAATAATAATAATAATACTTAAAAAGTTGTAAAGTTTTGATCTGTCTTCATACGGCATACAGCGACACTCCTTTATCATCCTCGCTGCACTCCTCTTAATATTCTAGAGCATGTGCCTATCCTTCTTCATTGTAAACCTGGATTCCAAAGCTAAACACAGTACTCCAACTTAGGCCGAACCGATGCTTTATAATTTTATTTAGGTTTAATATGATAATCCTATCTATAAAGACTGATGTAAACGAAGTAAAGTTCTTTTAGAATTTTCTTTTAATGCCTTCACATCACTGGGACAGATAGGTTCAATATTTGAGGGGCTGCTCTTACAATGCATTCCACTTAGAAGTGGAATTTGGAAAAAACTGCGAGTAATTACATCAGCAAAAAAAAAAAGAATCAATGAATTTTTTTAATAGAATTAAAAAAAAATAAAACATAATTTTTTGGCCTCAAAAATTATGGGCCCGTGTTTTTAATTACGCTTATTTGTTTGTTTTTTATTTTTAATTTTTAGATATTATTTTAAATCCAATACTTTGGTTCATTTATTCATTTCAATTTTTTAATATTTTAAATTGATTATTATTTATGAAATTTTTCATTATTTTCATTCCATTAATTGTTTAATAGTTATGATCTCATAGCATTTTCTCTTTATTTTATTAATATTTTAAAAATTTTAAATTTAAATTTTTTCTGAATTAACTTTTAATTATTTCTACTGCTTATTTTATTACTCAATATCCACATTTAAACACAAAATACACAAACACACATACATCTCGCATACATACGCACTCACACACGCACATATATACACACTCACACAAACACACACACATATATATATACACACACTCACACACACACAAAACCGTCACAGTACATGAATAAATTATTTAAGCTCCTATCCTACTACACGCAGATGAAATGTTCGTTCTTATTTTTAAATAAATATAAACAACTATAATAAAAAAAAATACATACTTACAAAAAAAAATGCACAGACATTTACAAAAGCAAACACACACACACATACCTATATACATACATACACACACACATACATACTACACACATACAATTACACACAAACACATATACACACACATACTTTGGTTTAAGAAGCTATACAAGATGATTTTGTCTACAAAATCTTTTATGATCAGAAATGTATTACTTTCATTAATTCTTCCACAAAAAATAAATTATGCATAAACAAACACAACCAATATTTTAATACCTGTCCAATACCGATTTTAACCGTGTTAATCCCGGGTTATTGAGTTAATACCGTTTTTTTGGGTGACCATACTCGATTAATTTTATAAATTTTATCCTAATCAACCACTTACCATTTTTTTGCTTTTTACTGCGTAATAAATCTCGTTTCGTTTCGAATAATTTCAGAGTTAAAACCAGTTTAAGATCAATTTGATAACTATATGTGAAGAGAATAGTTTAACGGCTGGCTGAAGTATTGATTTATTAAAAAATATAAGTGAATTTTTTTAAATATATTTACCGTTTTTGTGGCTGGTTATTAATATTTTAGTTAATATTTATGTCATAATATTTATTTTAAATAATATATTTATTATTTTTTAAATAAATTTAGATATACACACATACTCACACCCACAAACACACACACACACACACACAAACACACACACAACAACAACATTGTTAATTATTTTTTTTAATTTGTTATTTGTATTATTATGCTTTGTTAGACTATACGTTAAGTTACTACAACAAACACCACACAAGAATACTGGTTAACATTTCTATTCAATAAACTCAGTAACATGTGTTCAGGCACTTAGTGTCAATATATGCCCTTGTTTGTTTGTTTGTTTGTCTGTGTGTTTAAACGTTTGTGTGTGTGACAAGATGCTGGGTCTTGAAGCAATGTGTGAGTTTTGTGCACGTGAGGATGTGTGCACGTGTGTTTGTTTGTGTTTGTATAAATAAATATATATATATATATACGTTGTGTTTATATATATGTTTGTATATATGTGTGTTTGCGTATGTATATGTTAGTATGCGGTGTGTTCGTTTGTATGTGCGTGTATGTATGTACCTGTGTGTGTGTGTGTGTGTGTGTGTGTGTGTGTGTGTGTGTGGTGTGTTTGTGTATTTAATCCAATGCCAAGCAATGCATTGTTTAACTCCTTGATTTATCGTCTGTGTAGATTGTGTTGATTTAATTTCGGAATTCATGCTTATTATTATTAATATTGTTATCATTACTGTTATTGTTATTATTGTTATTCTTATACTCATGGATTGGATATTATTATGATTGTGGTTATGGTTATTATTTTCTTCTATGCATTAATATTGTTTTAATTAATTTGTCTTAATAAATGTTAATTAAATAATTAAAATTATTGGCGTAAATGCTAATTAAATTAATTAAATAAAAGTATTATTTAAGAAAAAATATATACGTATAACAATTACATTGAGAAATATTATGATAAAATCCTAATGTAAGACAAATAATATCCATCATTCTTAGTACAGTAGCAGGAGTGTCTAGCATGGAGATGATATATCTATAATTATATATATCCATATATATTTATAATTATATATATATATATATATATATCCATATATATCTGTTAATATATATATCCATATATATCAATAATTATATATATCCAAATATAATATATCTAAAATATTATATATATATCCATATATATCTATAAATACATATACATTTTTAAATATATCCATATATATCTATAAATATATATATCTATATATAATATATCTATAATTATATATATCCATATATATCTATAAATATATATATATATCCATGTATAATATATCTATAATTATATACATCCATAGACATCATTTATTCAAATTTACGCCATATATTCTTTTAATAAAGAAAATAAAAATTAAATAAAAAGAAGAAAATAAAAATTATATAAAAAAAGGGTGTAGAACTCGCCATAATCCACTGAATAACCAATTTTAAAACTAATTAGGCGAATAAAAATCAATCGATCAACCAACCAGCCAGCCAGCCAACCAACCAGCCAGCCAGCCAGCCAGCCAACCAACCAACCATCCAATCAAAAAACAAACAATCAGTTTATAAAGCGCTATTTCCGCGATGTTCAACAGCGTTCCTCAATGAATTTTGCAAACAGATGGGTCTTGAGATCCGCTCTGAACTTCGTAAGTGATGGAGAAGTCGCCAGAGAAGGAGGTAGAGAGTTCCAGAGAACAAATTTTAAATTTAAAAACCAAGTAGACGAATGAAAAGAAATAATATGATTGAAAAATGTTGCATTGTACAACTCTCTTGCAATAAATACATAATAATAATGCTAATAATAATGATATTAATAAATAAATCTTTATTTTTATGTGTATTTCATCCATATCATGCACCTAAGTATAATTAACTTGGTTTTAAATATTATTAAACTCATAAAATATTTCTGTGATATATTTATTTATTTAATTAATTAAATATTTTAATATATATCATAAATTATATTTTATTTTCATTGTTTTATTGTTTAATATATTTAATTCACACACACACAGATACACACACGCACACACACACACACACACACGCACACACACAGATACACACACAAACATCAGCGTTAAATTAAAGTTTCAGTAGTGCTGAATTGAATTAAAAATATCATTTATTTAATGAATAAAATAACAACAATTATTATTTTTCATATTTACAATAAAAAAATTAAGAATTTTATAAATAAATATTCTTTCATTATCAGTTTTTTTTTAAAATTCAGAATGAAATTCATCAAAAAGATGGCATGTGTGTTTGAGTGTGTGTGTGAGTGTGTGTGCATGTACGTGTGTATATATGAGTGTGTGTGTGTGTGTGTGTAGGTATGTTTGTGTGATAAATATACATTCGTGTATGCATGTGTACAATTATGAATTCAGTTTATCAAATTAAACAATTCAAAAGCTACAGAGTTCTACAAATATCAATAGGTCTAAATGTAACAAATAAAATAATAATAAGAATATCAACAACAACAACAACAACAACAACAGCAACAACAACAACAACAACAACAACAACAACAACAACAGCAACAACAACAACAACAACAGCAACAACAACAACAACAACAACACACAACAACAAAAAACAGCAACAATAATAACAATAATAACAAAAACAACAACAAAAACAACAACAACAATAATAACAATAATAATAACAATAATAAATAAATATAATATAAATAATAATATAACTAATGTTAAAACCACCCCCCAAGCAGTTTATACAAAATTTGTTTCATTTTTCCTTATGTATCGTTTCAAATTTTCAAAATTTCTGACATCATCATCATCATCATCATAGTCGTCCTCACCATCATCATCATAATCGCCATCATCATTAAGGTTACCAAATTTATTATTATTATTATTAAAATTATTTTTATTATTATGCAATTGGGTCGAATCATCTTTATGGCTGTATAAATCTAGATCGATCGTCGACCTACTTTTACGCGATTGGCCAACGGAGGCCGATTGTCGTGACGTCATTATTGACCTTCGCTGTGATTGGTTGGCAGTTTGTTGTCGTTTTTGACGTTGTTGTTGTTGAGAATGTTTGTCGTGCTGTGGTGAAATATGTTGCAGCAACAAAATTTGTTGCAGTTGTTGAAATTGTTGCTGCTGCCGCAGTTGCTTCTGTTGCTGGTATTGTTGCTGGTTGTGAGCGCTTTGTTGTTGGGAATGTTGTGGTTGTGGTTGTTGTTGGAAATGTTGTGGTTGTTGTTGTGGTTGTTGTTGGAAATGTTGTGGTTGTTGCTGTTGTTGTTGATGTTTAAGACTTACGATTTGCTGGCTCACTTTGCTCTTTTCAACATTATCACCGACAACTCTTTTTTGTTTAGGCTTAATAAAATGTTGTTGTTGCAGTAGTAGTAGTTGATGGTGGTGTTGTTGTTGTTGCGTGTTGGGTGTCGTTGTTACAACAACAGTTTTTAGGTTTATGCTTGGGCTAAAAGTAGCAGTGGTAGTTGTAGTAGCGACGGTTGCGACAGGAACGATGCTGTTGTTTGACGATATCAAATTAACAGTTTTGAAATTGTCGTTAAGTTTTGATTGGTTAGCATTATGGAGCGTGATGGAATTACTGATAGTTATAGTGTTTGTAGCTATGGTGGTCGATGCACAAGCTTCAGACTTTGGGTTTTCGTTATTTACCTTTTGATGTTTCAACTTACTGGCTCGAAATCCGCCATTTTTAAACAAACCAATTTCGAAGTTTTTGAAATTCGTCCAATCAAAAGCAGCCTTTCCGTTATCTTCATTCTTATTGGTCAGCTGAAACGAAGAGCTGGTCTTCTCATTGGACGGCATGTATGACGTCAATAGCAGCTTAGTGGGGTAAGTAAAATTTGATTGGTCGGTTGATAAAAATTTCCTGGTGTGTGATTTGTCGAAGGTTTTTGAGTGCCTCAGCCGCCAAACAATGACGCAAACTATCAGACCACCAACGACGAAGCTGACCACGCCCACTAGAATGACGTAGTAAATGGAAATGAAAATGGATTGGCTACTATCGGATTTAAAAACCCTGATCTGTGATTGGTTGTAACTGGACCAATCATCTTCCTGCAAGTTATCCCCATCTCTGCACATTCTCATCTGCTGCTCATTGCACATCACTATTTCCTGTGTATCGTCGTCGGAGCAGAACTTCCGGCGCACTTGAACGCCATCTTGATTGCAGGCCTCCCACGGCAGCCAATTGTTCAACCCATCCTCAATCGTGTCGCTGCAGTTCGACAGATGGCAGGGCTCCTCATCCATCGACTTTCCCCTACACTTTCCACTTTCTTTCTCACTCACATCATCATCGTCGTCGTCTCTGCTGACAATATTTTCAACATAACCATCATCACCAGCCCCATCATCATCATCATCATCGTCATCAGCATCATCGTCGTCGTCAGCGCCATCATCGTTGCGGTTGCCACGGTAACACTTCCGATCGTTATCTTGGTACCCAGTGAGGCAGGTCCGAACTCTCCTCCTAACGGCTCCCGGACCGCAACTTTGCGAGCAGGGAGTGAATTTGGACCAACAGGACCAATGGTAAGGTGGGGATTGGGGTGGCGACTCGTTGGTTGTCACCAGGTGTGGAATGACGTTGTTGTTGTTGTCGTTGTTCAAGTTTTTGTTGCTACTGCTTGCTGGTGTTAGAGTCTCGTTAGTTTTTATATCTGAACAGTTTTGGTCATCATCTGGATTGCATTTCGTTCTTTTTATTTTATACAGCTTGACCCTGAGTTGGGAGGAGTCAGTTAAGGTTGATTGACATTTGCATCTGTAACTTTCCTCCGTAGATGATTCTGACCTGATTGCTGATTGGTCAGCAGTGCTGGTGGGAGGGTTCTTCCTGATCCATTCCGACCAATCGCTGTATTTGGTTACCTCTATGTAAGGCGCAACAACGAAGTTAAAATTAAGTTCAATTTCAACAATTAAATTATTTTAATAACATTTAATGACCATTTCGCTTGTGTGAAATTCATTTTTTTTTTTTTTTTTTTTTTTTACAAAAATTTAAACCAAAAAACGGATCGATTCCATTAACCTTTGCACTCCAACCTCAAGTCACACTTCTCCACCTCCCTACCGTTTCCATAGCAGCCACGTTCCTCAATCTTATTGGTCAGTTTGTTTAGGCATGTTCTCGTCCTCTGTCTCGTGCCGTCTGTCTTCTTGGCGCAATTTCCAAAACAATGACTCCAGTGAGTCCAGGCTTGCCACTGGTGGACGGTATGCTTGTAGGCGTGGTTTGTTTGAAACGGATACGCTGATTGGTTGGTTAATTTTATATAGATAATATACTTACCAGTAGTTTTATAAATATATTTATAATATTTTTGAATAATTAATTATTTAATTAAATCCTTGTCATATTTTCCTCACTAGAGCAGTTGTTTATTTCAACCATCTCTCCATCACAGCCAATCCGATCTAGCCCATTGTGATCACATGACCTGGTTCTGCACTGGCATTGGTCAATTGTTGACGAGGGCTTGGGCAATTTTGATTTTGATTGGACGCAAGGTTGCCACGGTGACCATTTCGACCAATTAGCTTTAAGGAAAAAAATTCAATTACTTTTTTTTATGAAAAAAAGCGTTGTTTTAATTTGAAAACTTACGCGTTCTGCTATTGGTTGCAGGGCACGACGTAACATTTTTGTGACCAATGGCAGAGCAGGTGAATGTCGACTCCACCCACCAACAGTACGGGTCATAGGAATTTATACACTCGCTAGGTTGATATTTTCGAACATTTAATTCATTTAAACAAAATATCAATTAAAACCTTTAATAGGAATAAATAAATATTTTTCAATATTTTAATATTAATAATAAATGAAAATAAATAAAAATCAAATTAAAATTTGAAAGTAAAAAACAATTAATTAAAAATAACAACTAATCACATTTACACGAAAGAAAAAATAAAATCGTTCGATAGGTGACCCCTTTCGACATTAAAATTGAATTCTGACTAAACAAAGAGTATAAAAAATTAGTATAATATTTCTATTAACGACAATAACAACATCAACAACAACAAAAACAACCACAACATCAACAACAACAACAAACAACAAAAAACAACATCAACAACAACAAAAGCAACCACAACATCAACAACAAACAACAAAAAATGACAAAAAGAACAATAAATAATTATGATAAATAAATAATAAGAGGCAAAAATAAAAATCTTCCTCACGATCTGGTTTTAAACTCGTGGCATCTCTGAACCGGGAACTTGAACAGGGCATCTTGGGTCGTAACGAAAAGGTGCATCTGGCGAATGAAATTAAATTAACATTTTTTAAAATTATTATGTTTGTTGCTCTATAAATATAATTACTATAATTTAATAATAACAATAATAATTAGAATTATTATGCAATTGCTCTTATTTATAATGGTAAAATAATAATTATTATTTTCATTGTTATAATTATGCGGATCTCAAGACCCATCTGTTTTCAAAATTCATTGAAGAGCGCTGTTGAATATCGCGGAAATAGCGCTTTATAAGCTAATTGATTAATTGATTGATTGATTGATTGATTGATTGATTATTATTAGAAGTGTTTGTTGTAGCAGTTCAAGATGTAATCGCCAATATGGGTTGTAATTAATGGCAGATCTGGACTTTGAGAAAATATATTTTCGTCAAAAACCACATTCTTTGAATTAAATCATTCAGTTTGGCTGACTTTTGATACAATACTGCAGCCGGCGCACCCGCCTAGACACGCCACTGGCAGTAGAAGTAGTAGTAGCAGCAGTAGTAGTCGTTGTAATCGTAGTAGTAGTAGTAGTATTGGTAGTAGTGGTAGTATTGGTAGTAGTGGTAGTAGTAGTAGTAGTGGTAGTAGTAGTAGTGGTAGTAGTAGTAGTGGTGGTGTAGTAATAGTAGTAGTGGTAGTGGTAGTAGTAGTAGTAGTAGTGGTAGTAGTAGTGGTGTTAGTATTAGTAGTAGTAGTAGTTGTTGTTGTTGTACTAGTAGTACTAAAAGAGGTAGTATTGGAGTAAAGGTAATAATGAAAACTATAATAATAATAAAAATAATTATTATAATTATTGTTATAATAATTATTATAATAATTATTATTATTCTGACTTCATCGACTTTCATGGAATGTACGTATCCGATGTGGTGTTTGTCTGTGAGGCGAATCTTCTCTAGGAGACATACCTGAGTGAGTGAATGAGTGAATGAATGAATGAATGAATGAATGAATGAAAGAAGGAATAGATGAATGAATGAATGAATGGAAGGAATGGATGAATGAATGAATGAAGGAAGGAATGGATGAATGAATGAATGAATGAATGAATGAATGAATGAACCTTGGTGTTGTTCATAATGACGGACATCTTGTATATGAGACCTTCCAAAGTCGATAGGAACAACACGGTGTACGATGATGATGATGACGAAGATGACGATGGTGATGATGATGACGACGATGGTGATGATGATGATGATGACGACGATGATGATGAAGAAGAAGATGATGGTTGCGGCATAAAATGATGATGAACCATCTGAGTAAATCTGAAAGTGAATTGTAGTCATCTTAATGAATGAATAAATGAATGAATGGATGAATGGGTAGATGGATGAATGAATGGATGAATGAATAAATGAATGAATAAAAAAATGGATAAATAAATGAATAAACAAATGAACTAAGGAGTAAATGAATTAGTTAATAAAGATAAATCTAATAACAATAGTGAGAACAAAATTTTCGCATCACCACCACCACCATCATCATCATTATCATCATCTTTAATATTTTTATTATTTATAATAATTATTATAATTATAATAATATTTATTATTTTTATTGTCCCTCCCCCACCCACCTGACTCCCTCCATGACAAACAGGGGTTCGGGATGGATGGGTTGCAGCGCCAAATCCAGCATCTGGTACCTCTGGGCCTCGTCCACATTCCTCTGACACTGAAAGATGGATTAATAAATGAGTGAATAAATGAATGAATGGATGGATGGTTAAATAAATAAATGGATTGATGGTTGGATGAAGGAATGAAGAGATGGATGAAGAGATGGATGGTTGGACGAAGAAAAGATGGATGGGTGAATGAAGAGATGGATAGTTGGATGAAGAGATGGATGTGTAGATGGATGGATGGGGAGATGAAGGAATGGATAGGTGAATGAAGAGATGGATGTGTGGATGGATGGATAAATTAATGGCTGGACTCTAAATCCAACATCTGATATCTATAGGCGTCATCTAAAATCTTCTGACATTGATGGATGGATTGATGGATGGATGAATGGATGGATAGATAGATGGATGAATGGATGAATGGGTAGACGAATAAACTTGTGGGCAAATGGATGAATAAACAGATAGATGGATAGATTAGTAAGGTATTTAATTATTATAAAAATGTGTGAATGTAGAGGCAAATTAGCTGATGAACAAATGAATGAATGAAATCTTGGACTCTGATTGATTTTTTGGCTAAAAAAAATAAATAAATGATTGATTGCTTGTGTGAATGAATAAATTGAAAGATGGATGGATGGATGGATGGACGAATGGACGAATGGATAGATGGATGGATGGATGGATGGATGGATGGATGGATGGATGGATGGATGATATCTCTGCACGTAATCTACTTTTTCCCGACACTGATAAATAGATGAGGAGATAGATGGATTAATGGTTGAATGAAGATAGATGGAGTTTCAAACAAAACTTATAAATAATAAGATGAATGTATGGGTGAATGAATGGATAAATGAATGAATGAATGAATGAACGAATGAATGAATGGATGAATGAATGAATGAATGAATGAATGAATGAATAAATGAGTGAATGAATAAATGAGTGAATGAATGAATGAATAAATGAATAAATAGAAAATAAGTAAATTTCTTGTTTTTAGGATAAAATACATGAATTAGTCAATTGACCGAATTTCTATTGGTGAATTAATAATTTAATAACTTTTAGATAAACGTATGGGACAATTAAAGATGCAACCGGTTCTTAAACACGAGTGAATTATTCATTTATTTAATTAATTAATTCATTAAATAATTCATCAAATAATTCATTCATTTATCAAGTCCAGTCAATCAGTGAGTCAGTTGATCGATCGTTAGGTCAGCCATTCAGCTATCCCGTCAGCTTGTTAGCTACCCAGTCGTCAGTCAACCAGCCAGTCAACCAGCCAGTCAGCC